TTAATTCATGGTGATCGATTCTTTAAAAAAAAGTCAAGGTTGAGTTTATACACTGCTTCCCGTATCCAATAAAATAACAAAACTTGAATAATTATAAAGCACTTCCGTTCCGTCCATTGCAAACAGTTTTCTTAATTAAAATAGATAAATATTAATAGCAAATTGGGAATTAGTTGTCAAAAAAAAATTTTTATTCAAGTATGTATTAAAATTTACCAAATAAATTATAAAATGATACTAACTATTGATGGAAATCCCCTCACATTATTATAGAATGTTCTTGAAGGTATTTTTCAATTAAAAATTAATTTGTGTGGTAAAAAAATTGTTGTGGTCGTTGAAGTTTGTGATGTTAAATACAAATTAAATTCTAAAAAGCTGGATTATTATTGATGATATTTGAAATAAAAAAAAATGCACCAAACTAACATCCAAACAATCAACATTCGATCTGAAACGTTTTAATTAGCACCTTTCAAATACAATGAACCCTAAAAAATATATCTTATATTCAATCGATGACCTCAATCACAGATCATTGGAATACGAAATCTCGATAGTTAATCAGAAAATCACACATTTTTCTTCAAAGATACAGATTAATTCACCTGAAACATGCACACCTTTGTTGAATAAATTCATTAGCATAAATTAAGTCAGTGTATGATATAGGCGATGAATAAAGTAACTGTGTTCTAACTAACACATATTATCAAATAGGATTTCTTGAAATTTACGCTAACTCGATCATAAATGAATGACGTTGATTACGTAGTTCTGGTAAAAGTGATGGCAAGTTTTTATTTATTAGATACTGATTTAACAATATCTTGCTAAGAAAAATAATATATGGCGTTTTTTATTAAATGTGTTAATTTTTAAAGAAAACAATTATGCAAACTAAAATTTCTATAATTAATTTGCAAAACCTTGTATTAACAGACAAAAAAATGTTGGTATGATTATGGTGATATCATATTTATTCGAAACGAATGTGATCACCAGCCAATACTTCAATATTCTCTCAAAATTCCAACAATATATTTCGTAGCCGGGAATTCCAAAATAACTGTTAATGCGTTTTTATCGCTACTTTTTTTCCACGAAATTCTCTGTTTAAATTTATTCTCAGTTTGTTCAACTATGATACCCAAAGAAAAACCCGGATATTTGGCAACACAACAAACAATCTGAAAAATATTTAAATTTAGTCCAAACGAAATTTTCTAGTACGGTTGGCGTGGCCTAAAATGGATCGCTTGATTCATCGGTCTGGATTTTGGGTGTCAGAGACAACTTTTATTTTGGATGGGGTTTATTTATGAACGACAACAGACCAACTTTTTATTAAAAGCCTGTTGATTTTGTTGTTGGGCTTAACGAGCTTCCTGGTTTATTTTTGACATGCTGGACGATTTACGATAATAGAAGAAAAAAGTATGCCAGTCAAACTAGATATTTTTTTGCTGCCACCCTGGTATCTGTATATTTACATATTGATATGTACTTCTAAATACTGAAATTAATTGTTGTTTGGTTAGAAGTACTTTTCATTATAGTGTTATTATGCCGATGCAAATTTTCAAAAAGGGGCCATATCATCATTAGGCTCTAAGATCAGTGATTTATAGGGATTTCATCGGGGATTTCCTTGATAGTTGATATATTACTCAAATGTTATCAAGAAACTAAGTTCATTAATGACGGCTACAACATGTGTTGATTCGAGATAGGTACCCACTTTCTGTAGGTATGCTTACAAACAAAACACTGGTACCACCTCCATAGTATATTTTTCTTCAGCAACTTGCATTCTATTTAGTTAAAGTTCTAACCGCGCGAATCGTCTGTCTTTATTGTCTCCGTTTTTGATCGATAAGTCGTGGTTCCATCCCTCTTTCTCAAGGGATTGTTTATGTCTAGCCTATAAAAGACCTTTTTTAGTTCTGTGACCTTGTAACATTGCATAATCATCCAATTCATCTGCTTCCGTCCACATCATGCAATGTCTTTCTAGCCCTAACTTGGTGGTCACTGAATTGGAGTGAAAATGGATGAGTTAGGACAGAATGGCAAAATGAACCAGAAGCCGATATCTACAAAACCAGCATCGCCCAGACCGAGTAGCCAAAAAATGGAGGACAGCTAGGAGTCTGTATTTCATAATCTCTAGCTACTGAAATAACAGGACTTAGCATGCCCCTCAATCTTGTACATATTCAGCATGTAGCTTACTTTTAATCCATAATAAAAAGAAGAAGAAAAGTCCAAATCGAACAACAAAAATACGCCATGCAGCATCCAGTAGCACCAAGTTAAGAATTTTCAAACTTCATCAATAATCATCATCTCATTTTGGGACGAAAGGATAGTGACACATCGATTTGAAATTTTCGTAAAAACATGCAACTTATAAATGATACTTTTTTTTTCTTGGATTAGGTCGTTTGAACTCATTTCAATCATTTTTATGGTGCTCACTCCCTCGCACTCAATATAAAATAGTTATAATAGGTATATCGTATCGCTCATTTTATTATTTGCTATAAGCAATCTTTAATAGGTTTTCATGATCCAAGGACAGGCTGAATTAATAAACTGCTCTGGGGAAATTTGTTAATAATGTGGTGGGATTTCCAAAGTAGTTTTAATAAAGCAAATCGCCATTTTCAGACGAGTATATTCATTAAAGTTACAACGCAGAATAAGTTTGTCCTTTGAATTCCTTTTAATGGTTCACCCTGGGATCCATTTCCTATAAGAAAGCGGATATTTTCGCTCAGGCGAATGAATGAGTAATTATGGTTTGAAGGCAGAAGTACCAAACTGTAAATTTCAGTAGAAATTCTCTCCAAAAAGCTTATTGTTGAAGTTTCGATAAATTTGATCTATGTGTTCCCAGTAATTTAAATTACCGAAAAAGTATTGCAACCTATTGAAAAACCGCTTGAGGTATATAGGTATATTATAACCTACGTATTACGTCACTATTATTGAGCTCAGCAAAGAAAATCATCAACTTCCTAGAAGCGGAAAATAATGCTGCTTAGAGCAGATGTATTACAATGGACTTTTAGAAACCATTCCACCATAAAATCGATTGTTTTTGAGTTTGCATTTTGATATTTCAATATTATCTATTATGCTTTTTAGCTTTTATTTTATTATATTGATGTTAAATAGCAACCATCACCTGTAATCGTAAAACTTTGAATAAATGAAATGTGTTAAGTGATTATTAAATCAGTAATAAAGAATTTCAATAAATATTCTAGGAAAGTTTTTAAATGTGCCTGATAAATATCAAGAAACATAATTTAATTTTCTTACAGTAGGTAGTACCATTAAACAAATTAAAATAATACCAGGAAAAAGTTAAAAGGTAGATATCAGAAAAAATTGGAAATTATAATGGTAACTAAAAAAAAACACATTACAACTATAGATAGATGCCTATAAGTAATCAGAATATTTTCCAATTTAAGTAACAGGAGAAGAAGGGAACATTGTTTCAATTTTCGTTTTAGCACAGGAATGTTGGCACCAATTTTTTTAAAAATTAATACATATTCTTGAAGCTTGCTCAAAAGCTTGGGTTCACACTTTACCAATCTGAGACAATATTACTTTCGACATGCTCATTAAAATTATCAATTAGATAGTTATTTATTATTAGCATTTTCTTCATTTGGTATTACTAAAATTCTAGAAATTCGATGTTCAATCTGACTTCATCTGACATTAACGCGATTGCATGCAGGAAATTTCAGTTATTTTTATTGGACGCCTGTATTCAGGACCGCACGAGGCGTTCGGGAAAACCAAAGTAGGCAGACTGGTCTGGTCTGGGCTGCCAGCAAATTCCGCATATTTTCATTTTATCAAAGAGTGGGAATCAATGTCATCAGATGTGGAAGTTCTCCGAAAAAACGATTCAATTCATTTGACAAAGAAACATTTTAGGTTTTAATTGAGCGACATGAAGACAAGTAATATACCTATAGAATTTTTTTTTTTTTTTTTATAAACATAAAACAATTAAAAGTTGGATCAAAAACGTATTTCAGTCAAGACAAGCAGAGTGAAAAAAAGTTGAAGGATCTACGCAGGCCTCTCACACGTTAACATGCTAGTCAATAAAATTAGGCAACTTATTCTTCTATTCCAAATTTATGTATGTTCTTTGCTTTTTACCAGAGATAGTCTTTTATCTTTCTGTTCATTTAATAATGCTCTCCTAGCAACAGTATTGCATTTATAATTTTAATTAATTTTTGTTGCTTATTATTTCTTTCTTTTTATTTTTTTCTGCGACACTATCCCACTAGTTTGACTCAATTATTAAACTTTCGCCATGTCCAGGCTCTATCTTAGGCATAGGAATCGATATCGATGTTAAATTTTGGGAATATGTATTATTTATATCGATGCGGAATTTCAGCATAAAAACAGTTGACTGTCGCATTCGGTGTGACCGGTTGTAAGAAAGCAAAGTCCTCTTCCGTGAGTTAGTTGAGTGTGGGTATTGAAAATTTCATTTTAATTTAGTTATTGGACTTGTATCCAGCTTCCACTATTTTAATTTCAATTATTTTTTGTTTTAGAGAAGCATCCAAATTATTCAAAGTTATAATTGGGCCCAAAATTATTTTTGGATCTGAAAGGAACAAAAACAAGACTGTGGACGCCAGACTAGATAAAATTAGCTGAGAAATGCGAGAGACAAAAATAGACACTTAAAGAATGAGCCAGCAATAAATAGAACCAGAAAAAATTCAAACTTAAAATATGTTAGGGGATATCACTGACCTAGGTCATAAGATTTATCTCCTAAAATTTAAAAACACAATTATTGGTGAACAATTCCTGTTTTGTAGTGCATGGCTTACATTCTCAGATCATTTTTGCAATTAACGCTGGTCTTGTGGACTATACTTCTTACAAGACCTTGCTTAGTTCAATAAAATATAAATTGTTTTTAATCATTAATTCTCACTTACCAAGATAATTCCATTGATCCAAATTCGGTGTTTCGTAGTTCAAAGGGGAATAGCTCAGTGCCATCGCTTCCCTATGTTTTGGATTAACAGGTTCAATGATAGCTTTTAGACAGTTGAAATCACCCATTTTGGCTGCAAGATGGAGCGGTGAGTTGCCCTGTAATAAAAAACAAGCGCTAAAGGAACCCAAATTTCATAGATTTAAATTGAAAATGTAAAATTTTTCCATAATTGCAACATAAAACTGTTCAGTTTCTTACCTGTGCATCTCTCGGGCAAGGCTTGGCTCCAGCAATGATCAACCAACGGACAATGGGATATTGACGAGTCTGTACAGCCAGATGTAATGGGGTTTGGGCACTATCATTGGGAGTGTCCAGTAGTCGTGGATGAGGGGCTGCGCGGATGATTGCCAAAGCGATTTCGGGAAAAGCATGAATTATTGCCATATGAAGATGCCTGCAACAGATTAAATCTTATTAAAAGAAAATATAAACATATATTATACATAAAATATTATAGCTAAGTATGTATAGCTATATTTTTGACATAATTGGTTGTGAAAAAGGGAGCAAAAATGTTCATAAGTATTTAAGGTGAAGGCGCGATCACAAATCTATAATTATTCATGTATTATTCATTATTATTGCACCAATATAATCAAAGTTGCATGGTTGGTGAACATAAATAATTGAAAATTGATATTCTCAAGTAATTTGGCCTGGGTCCAAGGCTTTTACGTAATTTCCTAAGCCAATTTACCCCTTAGACTTAAATGTATTTTTGTATCAATTTCATATAGTTTACTATAGTTTCCTAGAACACAAATACCTTATATATTATTTCTTGAATCAGTTTCTACAGAAATCACAAACCACTGAAAATGACTGAATAATTATTTTTTATTGAGCAAAATTTCTTGACCTTGAATTGAGTTTTCACTGGTTTATGATTTTTTTAGGTTAGAGCGAGGGTTAGAGGCACAATACTTTTGGCTTTTGCTCTTGAGTAACCAGCCAGGCTAGTTATTTTCTACCAATAGAACGGCTTTTTTCTGCTTCATGAGAACTATACAGTAAAAACTTTCAACATAAAGCAGCACTGATAGCAATGGCTTTCAAATAGCTGGGTAATATTTCCTTGGAAAAATTCCAGAATTTGTTTGGGTAAGTTTGAATCTCGGTTCAAATCTTTATGAGCCTGAAATTGAGTAATTTTATTTGCAGCAACTATTAATTTTATATTGTACCAAGATTAATTATACACATGCATGTTATGAATGTATGCCAGTTTCACTAAAAAAGGTTTTATTATTGGTTCAAGAAATAGTGCGGAGATGGAAAATGGTGAAGTTTCGTTGCAGCTGATCCCAGCCTTACCTGGGGAGGCTGCTGCCTCTCTGTGATGAGAACAAAATTACCTACTCACGAAAAGAAACTCCAACATCAAGTAAAAGTCCCGCTGATGAATCACAAATCACCAACCCAGGAAGAACAAGCAGAAATACAAATGGGCAATTCACTCAAGGATATGTTTGGAGCTCAGGAAAAAAGGCAATTTGACATGAATGTAGAAAGAAACTCATTAGTTTCGATAAACCAATTGCAAAAAGCTAATGAGACCTGATGAAACTGATATATGAATGCCTTACACAACAGTTATATCATGTTTCTTTAAAATTTTGCGTGTTGGTTTTTGACTTATGTCAAGTTCTTGGCTAATTTTTCTGGTAGGGTTTATCCTCGGGTTTGTCTCTACAAAAGCTACATTTACTTCCATTTATTTCTAAAAATATTACCTAAGGAAAAGCACCAGTCTTTGACACTGCTCCAGTGTTCGGCACTTCCAAATTCAAATTTAAAAAACTAGTCGCCTATTTATATTTTCACTCTTTTCTGTGGATATTCAGAAATTTCAGTACCTACTTATGTTTGGCAATATTCTGGACATTGAATCTTTATTGAAAACGCGCGTAAAAGTTATGGAAATGTTTCGCAGTGTGTGAGATTTTTCATTTTCTAAACGAACTTGTTAAAAAAAATATATTTTTAATTTAGATAAGCACATAGTTTTTTGCAAACTATATTTATAAATGTTCCAGAACTTGTTTTTTATGGAAGTTTATTCATATTTTAACTAGAACTTAACTTTATTGGGATGTCGATAACTGTATCCGCCGATTATACTGTTAAATTCCAGTATTCGATAATTTCTTTGTTTTATTTCATGACTAACTAGGTATTTGCCTTTTTTCAGAAAAATGCCACCAAAAGTTCAGTAGGTAGAGTAAAGAACAAATTTCCTTATTAACCCGAAATAGGTACTGCAAATACATTTAGGGTGCCTAGAAATACACTGCTTGATAAAAAAACAGGAAGAACTTCCATTTGCCATTAAATTTTACCTCAAATTTTACATTACTAAAACGCTGTTAATAAATATGACGCATTAAAATCTGATTAGGGATGTTAAGAATGCTGTTTTGTTTTTTACTTTGGATTAGGCAGTATCCAAGGCAGTATCATTGCATAATAAAGTTTTATCTATAAACAGAATTTTAATAGCCTATCGATTGACGTACCTACATAAAAAATTGTAACTAACAAACACTGACAAACAAAATTGATTTCCTGGCAATGGGTTGTTATGACAACATTGGCCACCAGCTTCTTGCCATTCTCGACACCTGGGATTTTCCTCGAGATTCTCGATCTTGATTCTATTAAAAATGGGTTATTTTGAAGCAAATCTCATAATCAGTTTTAGACCCGGTTTCAGATGTCGAAGTTGGCTGGGTGGTTTCATCACGATTTTGACAGCTTTGGAAATATTTGTTAGACAAATGATGAGTGAACACACCGCATTTTCATTTTTCTACAGTTATATGAGCCAAAATAAATAGTTTCAGGCTGATCCTTGTAGTGTGGACCCAAATACAAATTTCGTTTCAAAATTTCCAAACTTCGTCAAACACCTTCAAATTTGATATTTTCATATACAGAATGAACTCATGATTTCAAAACTACTAAACAATACTATGTTGCCGTTACAGGAAGTTTTCAGACTCTCACACTTGCGTAAAAAGATGACATTTGCCAAACCTATAATATGCTACACCAAAATTCATTCCGATTGGAGAAAAAAATTTCATCATATCACAATCACAAATAAAATATTTGGGACCTGGGCTGGAACTCTGTAACGTATGAGGATCGTTATCCCTATCGCTATGGCACTTGCTGTCTTCTTTCTTGTCGAAATCAATAGAGACGTCAATAAGAAGAGAGAAAATATCTCTATTCGTTACAGAGTTCCAGCCCTGATACCTGATCAAATTCCCCTCAATATTTAATACAGAAGCTACAGGGAGTTCAAAATAAGGCTATTAAGTCCATCTATGGTTTTGCCTGATGCCTGTTATACTGTAACAAAAGATGTTTATAAACAAACGCTAATGTTGAACATAATAAAGCCGAGTCCAGACTTACGTACATTTGGCCACCAACATTTAAACATTTGTATAAAAACTGTTCAAAAACGGTATAAAAGCCGTCTAAAATGTGTTTTCAAACATTTGTTTAAAACATTTGAACAAATGTTTAAAGTTTTTTGTTTGGGTTAGTAACTTTGTTTCTATACTCGCTTTTGAAGCAAGTGGACCCGTTCAAGGCAAATGTTTGTTGTTTTAAGCAATCGTATCAGTGTTGGTGCTATTTAGTGACATGTTTTTGGATTTAGTCTGGACGCAATTGCCTTCTCGTTTCAAAACTAAATGTTCTTTGAAACAAAACACCTGAACACATGTATAAATGTTTTGTTCACGGGCAAATGTTTCCAAACATTTGTTTGCAGGCAGTGTATGTAGGTCTGGACTAGGCTTTTCTAGACTGAAAACATTAGAACAAGTGAAATTAATATATAATGTCAAACATAACAACATCAAAATCAATGCTAAAAAAACGTCTGTTCCAACTTCGGTTCCAACACAGCAGGAAACGGTACACAATGTACCGTCACGATTCTGTGCAAAGCGTAAAATTTGTGCGTAGAAACCAAAATTCGTTCACCGAGTGGTTCTGAAACTGTTCATGGGGAGGTTTTTGACGTGTTGGAACAGACCTTTTAAAACAAGCCAGAGACTACCATAATTTAATATAAGAAAAAAAATGGACTGCAGATGTGAACATGCAAGAACAAAAAAGCACAAGAGTACATGTGCACTGATAACAAATTTCACATATAATTCTTAAAGGGCTCAAACTTCTTGGTTTTACATTGAGAAATTGTAGTGATTTCCCAATTGATGTGGTAAAAGTTGTGTATTGTTCTCTTGTCCGCTCCCAACTTGAATATGGAATACTGATCTGGTCTCCTATGTATGAAACATACATTGATGCAATTGAAAGGGTGCAGAATAAGTTTCTTAAATATTCTGGTTATAGAATGGGAATCCCAGCTGCAGACATTGATAAAAAAGTAATCTTGGATAGATTGAAATTAACAACACTTTACAATAGACGAATTCAATTTGACTCCTTATTTATTTTTAAACTATTGAATAACAATATTGATTGTCCTGAACTTATAAGCAGAGTCAGTTTCAATATTCCACAGCATACATTGAGATTTTATGAATTTTTTCACATAAAATTTAATTCTACTAATTATGGCTGTAATAATCCTTTCGATAGGGCCCTTAGGTTTTTAAATAAACACTGTGATGTAGATCCTTTAAATTTAAGTTTAAGTCAATTTAAAACTATCATATATAGTAAACTGTAGATTTGTTTGTAATGAGTTTTCTATAATGTACACCTTTTAGAATTTAAGGAAATATTAATGATTATATTATATTTATTGTTATTATTATGCTGTAATGGGGTGATCCCGTGAATTTAATAAATAAATAAATAAATAAATAAATAAAAAAGACTCGTCAATTAATAGAAGTATCTGTCAATATACCAATGTACCTTAACTAGTTCAAGAAATACTCAAATAATTTTAAATAACCTCAAGAAATATTCAAAAGAAAAGAAAACCTGAATCTAACTACTATTTATAGTAAGTAACTCTCGATGTAAATAAAAATATTTGAATAATTTTAAATTAGTGTCAGTAGACAGGAGTCATTACCTTACCAAAATTTTCTTAAACAATATACCTGGTAATAACTAGTAATACGCATCAGGCCCTGATGTGTTACTTGTTCAAGGGTCAATTCAAGTTCTCCCGAAACCCCAAAAATTGAAAAGAATGAGTACCCTTTTTTTACCGCGGAACGGACCTAAACACATCGTTCAAGATGAATTAAAACAAGAATTGTCAACTCATAAAATCTCCCTCAAGAAGCCGTCAAAGAGACAGGTGTAGATTATTTTGCCTAACTAGGTGAGGGGCACATAATACAACCTTTTGACCTTTGTGGGACATAGGTTGTTGTGGGAAAATGAAAAGAAATTGACTAAACTAGACAAGAATTTCAAAAATCTAAAGAGTAAATATGACTTACGTATCACCGTCCTCATCTTGTTCAAAGTAAAGTCCCCAGGGAGCATCCTCCAATGATTGTTTAGAATCCTCAGGTGGTTGGATCAGTTTAGGATTGTCCAAATCGTTTAGTCCCAAATTCGAGTCCAATTTTAATTTGGAAATTTTCTCACTCAAGCTCAGTTCGCTTGAGAAACAAACACCGCTGTCAATGTGCATGGATGAATCTCTGGATTTTTTGTCGGTATCTTCAATAATCCCGGAATCGCTCTGAGCGGAATGAAGGTCGCTCCGATGATGATAAGGTTCGGGAACGATTTCTTCGGATATTTCTCCTGACAGCATCAGATTTCCACTCGAAATAAATCCACTATCGGCTCGGGAATCGGTCAAATCGCATTTATCGTTTTCAAGCAGTTTTCCAGCATCTGGAACATTAGACGAATGTTGTTGATTTCGCGACATTTTTTTTTACGATATAATATGGAAAAATAAATGATGAACAGGAGTCAGGAAGTCGAACGGAAAAAGTCACAAACACGTTAACACTAGAATTTGGAAAGTGCCCGTTTCCAGAAGAGCTACGGGTAATCGGAAGTATTTCGAAAGTAATCGATTTCGAAATTGTCGAAAAACACAAAACACGGGGCGCTCGTACACACAACACCACTTCGACTTCGAACATCAATGGCAATGCAATGATGCCTTTATAATGAAAGGAAAAAGAAAGGAGAGATCGTAAAATAAAACAGATAGTTGTTAACTGCGGCGCAAGTACGGGAATCCCGAATACATTCGCATGCGCACCAAGAATCTGAAAACCTTGAACGGTATTATGCGTTGTTGTCGATGTAATGTGCTTTACCCTAAATTTTACAGAATAAATATAGTTAAATATGTAATTAGACAGGTAATACCTACCGTTGATTGGTAATACCTAATACTTATTACCTAGGTACCTATAAGTCTATGGAACAATGAACAGGACACAGGGCAAATTACCTGATTCTTTTTCGTAGATACCGAATCAAGACATGTGCACTGATAACAAAATAGGTTACTAAGTATATAAAATCAATTTTTTTTTGGATAAAATAGGTACACGTAGATATGAACTTTGGAATTGGGTAACTAGGTATTTGGAACATCGTAATGGAAAAATTTCCCACTAATAATGATAATATCTTAGTTGCTGGAATTTTATGTAATTTCAAAATTACCGTTGAGTGCGTTGAGTTATCAATACCAATACCTCAAGAGGGATTTACATTGTGAGTCAATTGTTAGAATCAAATTAAACAGAAAATAAATAAAATCAGTTTTGTTTTCTCGAATAACAAAGATTGGCACATTGGCGCCATGATATTTTTGTCAAATACCGCAAATGTTTACTCTATAATCTGATTAGCTTTTATTATTATTATATTTTCTTATCGGCAAATTATATTTTCGATTCAGAAACTTGTTTTTTTTAAAAACATTTATTTTATTAATTAAAATAGAATAGTGACAATCGAAAAATATGTGGATCAAATTGCTACAGGGAGTGCCTGAAAACAAATGAACGCTCCTTACTGGAAAGCGCTGGCTTAAATAATAAATATTTGCTGATCCAAGCATTTTCCTAGGCAGATGCTGGTACTACAGTGCAGTACCGCTGATTAAGCAGTTTTATATATTTATTAGTATTGACATAGGCGTACGCTTATAATTATCATAGGAAAGGAGAATTATTAGTATAAAGATAACATAGGGTCTTACAATATAACTCCTCCCTCCTTAAGTGGTTACAAATTGGGATTGACTAACAATGTTGGGCAATTCAATCTGCACCTCTGTTTTAGTTTTAGTACATTTTCCTCTAAAATATAGAATAAGAATAATGGTTATGCAAATAGAACTTAATACTATGATTATAATATAGGTTGACACATTATTGGTTATAAAATCTAACACTTTTAATGGGTCAGTCTTTAAATTGTTTGCTTCTTTAATCGCTGATTGAAGAGCTTCGTGGTCGACTGTTTTTAGTCTTACAGTTGTGGTATTCTCTAGAAGTTCAGGAATCTCGATGATGGGTAGTTCTAGTTCTAGGTTGAAGTTCTCATGCGTGTCTTCCAAAAATGTTCGATTATTAATTGTTATTAACATTTACCTTTGGAAATTACGATTGGACTGGAAATGATTTCCATGTAGGTACTTCTTCTGGTCACATTGCAGCATTGCTGTCATATGTCGTTTTGGAATAACCAATATTTGATTATTGGGTATTTCTTCAATTGTCGATTCTTCATATTGAATTTTCGTGAATGGGCATAATTGTTGTTCACTAGATACAATGTCGTGAACACAGGGCTCATCTTGCTTCAATAGTTCCATTTTGCACAAATAAATGTCTTCAACATTTGGACCTTTTGTAAAGCGTTGTAATACGTGTCTGTGGTAAGTAAAAGGTAAGGATACTTAACACTAATTGTACAATTTTGGATGGGTATAGGATATAATTTATACAATATAAAAGGTTTAGGATTAATTATTGGTGTGAATATAGTAAAAATAATTAATTCCTTCTGAATAATTACATGAGAGGACATTGTCTCATAGTATTTAATTACGTTATCAAAGGGTATTTGTTCTCTCTCGGGTATATTTTTCAAGATCAAATTTAACTCATGATGCTGCAGAATTGTATAGTGCATTATGCCTACGCGTGCAAAGCTTATTGCGTTTTTAAATTCAGTTCCGTTATCGGAAGTAATTCTTTGTGGAATTCCATGGTCACTGAAATATCTTATTAATTGTGATGCAATCTCAACTGAAGTTTTGCTAATAATTGGGATAGCTTGTGCAAACTTCGAAAAGCTGTCAATAATTGTTAGGAATTTTTGATTCGAAACTACGTATGTATCAATATAAAGGTGTTCAAAGGGTTTTGAACCGATTGGAGTTGGTTTGAATATTATTTTATAGGGTTGCCTTTCATATTTTGTCTTATTACAAATTTTGCATGTTTTGACATATGCTTGAACGTCTTTTTCTAGATTAGGCCAATAATATCGTTTCTTTAAAGATGAAACATTTTCTGTAACTCCGCGATGAGATGTTTTAGTCTCATGGTATAGTTTAATTTTCTCTTGCTGTTCGTTTCTGTTATGTCTTCGACAAAGGAATTGGAAATACATAACTTGAACGAATTCGAATTGAATGATGTACTTAGAACTCTAAGTATAATAGGTTCTAACGTTTTGTTGTGGAAATACATACAATACGTATTTGGTGGAAGATATTTCTTTATTAATTTAATAATTTGTTCCTCTAAGGGGTAATTAGGTAAAAAGAATGTTATTCTTGTCTTGTTAGGAAATGGAATAATACTTTCTTTGCGAATAGCATTATTATTAGAGTACCTATCTAAAAATAATTTGGTTAGCAAAAAGATTTACATGTTTCTTCGTATAAGGGGCTCCTAGAATAGGGTTTTCAAGAGAAGTGTGAATAGTTTGATCGTCTTCGATTACTTCATTCTCAATTGTATCTTCTTGAATTAAATCTTTTTGAATTGTATCTGTTTCAATTGGATTTTTCTTCAATCTTTTTGGAGGTATTATTACGTGAGATAAAATTTTAATCTTAGGTTTTTCTTTTTCTCTTTGTGGTGAATCTGCTGAACGAGTAGATTCGGACAATAGAATATCTTTATGTTCGTCATTTATTTTAATTTCTTTGCCTTTATTAATAGGTTTCTTTGCTTGTATATGAGGTTTAAAAATTTCAGTATCTTTGAAATGTTTTTCAATAATCTCGTCATTATTTAGTGGTGTGTCTTCTAGCATTGCTCCTAAAGTTTTATGAAACTTTTCATCGGAATCTGATTCTGTACTTGAATCTGATCTGGAAATAGCATTTAGTTGTAAAGGAGGTCTTGATAATGCGTCTGCATTCATATTGAGTATTCCTTTCTTGTATTTGATTTCATAATCAGATTTTGATAATTTTAATCTCCATCGGACTAATTTAGATCCAGGTTCTTTAACAGAGAATAACCATTGAAGTGGTTTATGGTCAGATAAAATTGTAAATTTTCTGTCCAAATAAGTATGGTCTAAAGTATTTAGTTGCCCATACTATGGCTAGTAATTCTTTCTCGATTGTGGAATAATTACATTCCGCAGGGTTTAATGTACGACTTGCGTAAGGCAATTGGTAAAATCTGAACCTACTGGTCCTTGTGACAATACAGCGCCAATAGCATATGGTTTATTGAAATCAGGGTGTTGTAAAATAGGATCATTGATTAATAAGTTTTTACAAGTTTCAAAACTTTTTAGAAATACAGAATCGTGAATTACTTTTTTATCCTTTTTTAAACAAATTGTCATTGGTTTTGTGATTTTAGCGTTTTTTATAAACTTTCGATAATATCCTGTCAATCCTAGAAATGATTTAATTTCTTTTACGGTTTTTGGGATTGGAAATTTCTTTTTCTACTGACATTTCATAATACGCTATTAAACGATTAAAATCTGTATCATAATGAACTTCATTACGATACAGATTTTCATTATAATACTCATTTTTAATATTATACAATGTAGATAGATGGCAGCACTAGTTAAGATATTAAACATTTTAACGGTGATTTTGCGTAAAACAATTATTTTGATAACTATAAAAAAAGACTCCGAATTTGTCTAAAAGTTACCTTAAGTTTGGGACAAAGAATAATTATTATGGAAATCATGAATGATAACGAAGAATTTTGACTTTCTTCATTATTATACATTGTCAATAGATGGCGCCACCAGTTAGAAAAATTGTTTTTTTTTTTTGAATGTTGACAGCACTCTGTTTATAGCTTTTTCATGGTAATTTAGCGAAAAACAATAATTTTATAAAAAAAATACTTCAAATTGTTATTAAAAGTTAATACCTAAAGTTTGGGAGAAGGCATTATTATGGAAATATTGAGCGATAACGAAGAATTTTCACTAACACCTCCAGAAATTACAGAAAGGGCGACAAATGCAGTTAATAATATACTACCAGTCCAAGAAAATTTACGAAAAATTATATGGACAATTTATAGATTGGAGAAAACACCAAAAATACATCATCCTTCTCAGAAAATGTTTTGATAGTATATTTTGAAGAGTTACAAGAAAAAATGAAACCTTCAACTGTATGGACGCATTACTCAATTATAAAATCCCTATTCAAAGTTAAGCATAATGTTGACATATCTAAATATCATCAAGTTTTATCAATGGCAGTAGAGAAAATAGTGTATGCAACTCTCATGTAATGGCCATTAATACACTCGCATGTTATATACGAAACTCGCCTGCGGCTCGTTTCGTATCCTACAACAGCTCGTGTATTAATGGCTATCATTACATGATCATTGCATAATATACTATTATTGCTTCGATTTTCTTTGGGTTTGGTTTAATACCATTTGGGGTTATGACATGTCCCAAGAATTCTACTGATTTCTTTAAAAATTCGGATTTATCTAATTGAATTTTTAGATTAAATTGTTCTAATCTTTCAAATATCTTTTTAAGATTTGCAATATGTTCTTGAAGAGAAGTGGAAAATATAGGGCCCGTTACACTGGCCCCCCCCCCGGTTTCCCAATAGGCTCAATATTTTAGCACCCTATTGCACCCACCTAGCACCACCTAGCACCCAACTTACAGAGCTAG